TGTCAACATTTTACATCGGCATCATCAAAGTTAGTGAGATAGTTCTGATGAATAGCAATAAGGCCAGAGAAAGAATAATGCATAACATGAATTCCTCAGGAAATCAATTAATATTTTTATGAGCAGTAGTGAAAATATGATCAAGCATTGGCAGAGAGTGAGGTCAGGCTGTTTGATCCCCAAACATATCCTTGATGAGTTCTGTCTACCCATGTAAAAATATTCTGTGCTTGTCAAAAGGAAAATATCAGTGCTCCCAAAACCAAGACATTTTCTTTACCAGAATGCACTGAATTCTTCATTTGGCGGTGAGGTCTAAGATAGGGCATATAAGGTGCAAGTTTTGGAGGATTTTCAGGTTCCTAATTGATTTTTTGTGGATCTCTGAAGTTAGTATATTTCGGTGTTCTAAATGATGTATTAAGTGTATAAGTAAAACACTTCATATTTTATGTTTTTTGAAGAGATTCTTGTTGAGGCAAGGTAAGCGATTCTAATATTGGTGCAATGATTGGTATTTGAAAATAAAAGTGTATTCATATTACTTCCACATTATTAAGATTCATTCATTCATTCACTCAATGAATGCTGAAGTCTAAATACATGTTCTTACTGAGAACAATATCAAGGCTGAGGACAGGAATATGAAAGCATGAAATAAGTACAACACTTCAACTTGGACCCTGAGAGGTGGTACTGAAGTTCAAATAATTCTTTAATAATGGTAAAATTTTTGCTGTAACCATCACACATCTATCAGGCCTTTCCTGGATGGACTGACATCATCATTTAAATGGAAATCCTTATATTCATTAGCTAATGTTCACTGCTCTCTGGGTAACAGTTAAGTTAGTGACTTAGGAGGGCCAAAGATCAGCTAATCTGATCTTCCAACGAGTAGTACTGTATGCTTGCATATGAAAGTCATAAGTACTAGCCTAAGCACTCGCTTAAAGAAGTCAAAGACAATCACAATACTGAAGCTTGTGTCTTCAGATGGAAGCGATGTACAACAGCAAGCAGGGCGGTAGTGGGGACCAGATGGGGACCAGCATGTGGTGGTGGGCTGACTGATGGGAAGATTAGAACTGTCCTGTCTGGAGGTCAGCACAGAGGTGTCTCAGCTCTAAAACATGAGTCCATGTGGGGCCACCTCACTCTGTATCTGGAAGGCTGAATTTTTAAATTCTGTGAATGACAGGGAATTTGGTTTTCCACCTTTTTTTATGCATGAGATCCTTTTGGTAACATCAAGCATTTCTTGGATACCCCACATAAGAGTTGACAGTTGAAGACAAATTAAGTACAGGTGGATTCGCGGATACCTAACAATGAACTTGAAGGCTACAGCCCAAGAAGCACGTCGGAGACTCTGACGCTTACACAGCTTGCTGTCAGTTCCTTTCCTTGCGCGTTGTGTAGGGTGAGGCACTCCCTGCTCCGGGGGCAGCCTGCTGTGTGGCCACTGTTTGCTAACAGCAAACCCTGAGCAGAGTCACCTGATTCAGCTTCCTCTAACTTCTACTTATTGGGCCCTGTTCTGTCTCATAACAGACAGACAACATAACAGACAACATAAACTAACCACGGTTTCTTTCACACAACAGCTTTCCATTACCACCCTTAAATCCAGAAAAGATTGGCAGCTTACAAGGGTGCACAAATCACGGCAAAACAGCATATACCAGGAGAAAGGGAAGAGAAATAAGTCAAGCCAGGAAATAAGCTTCCAAACCCATTCTATCAGTGGCCCGTTTCTCTGCTGTAGATACCTCACAAATGTGGCTCTAGGTTTTCCAGCAGTCAGCTTTCAGGGGGGACCCTTGGCAGTGTCAACTTTTCCCAGGACAAGCATAATGAATCTGGAATGGACACCATGGTCCCTCAAAGAAAAGCCCACTCAAATGTCCAGAGCCACAGGCGTTGAGTCATCTGTACAATGACCACAGTATAAACAAATGACACCAAATTATTGTGCAGGAAAAGTAATTCTTTGAAGGACTAAAATAGTGGGGCCTAGGTACCTAATTCCCTGCTGCATCTAACTTGATTCAGAGGGGAATATTCTAGAATATTTGGAAGAGAGGATCAAACAAACACCCTGTTGTTAATTTTCCTTGAATATTTAATTAGGTCTTTTAGGTGAGCCTTTGATCAATACTGATTAAGCTTTTAATTAAACATTAAACAAACACATATGTTATGCCATGTGCTGTTGTGCCCATCAGCTCATTTGACATTCATAATGACCTTATAAGGGCTTTCCTGGTGGCACTGGTGGTAAAGAACCCGCCTCTCAATGCAGGAGACACGGGAGACACGGGTTCGATCCCTGGGTCGGGAAGATCCCCTGGAGAAGGGCATGGCAACCCACTCTAGTACTCTTGCCTGGAGAATTCCGTGGACAGAGGAGCCTTATACAGGTCCATTGTAATACACTCTGTTTTTAAGTGAGGAGACTGAGGCACAGGAAGATTAAGACCATTGGTAGTTGAGGAAGCCAAGATTTGGACCTAAGTCATACAACCTAATCTCCTTTTTAACCACTATAGAATCCCTAAGGTATGTAAGCTGGGTTAACATGCTTTTGTGAAAGTGGAGGATTTGAAGAAAAAAGAGCAATGAAGATGTCGATTTATCTCTTCTGAAAAGCCAAAGCAATGGGAATTGATATCAGCCTGAAAAAGCTTACGGGGATTGGGGCAAAAAAGGTGGGGAGAGCAAAGAAAGCATCAAGTTAGATGTTTTAGAAAATCATTTCTCTTTGTTCTTTATTCAGCTTCTTCAAATTACAGACAGTGGTGGTTCAAAATATATCCATGAATTCCCTGACACCCGTTCCTTTAAGACGGAGCCTAGCTCCCTTCCTGTTGTGGGTGGGCTGGAACTTTTACTCAGCGCTAACCAAAGGAACAAAGCAGAAGTGATGGTGCACAGCCTTGAAGAGCAGGTCACCTTGTCTTTCTCTTTGCTCTGTCTCTTGGATCATTTGCTCTGGGTAAGTAGCCTGAGAAAAGGGGTATGTAGTGAGGAACTGTGGCCAATAGCCAGTGAGGAACTGAGGCATTTTGGGCCAAGAATGCTCTCGGTTGAGCAAGAGAGCAAGTCACCATGGCTTGAAACAGCCAGTGAGGAACTGAGGCATTTTGGCGCTGGGTCTTCCAGCCCCAGTCAAGTCTTGGGCCAGCTGCAACTGAGCTTGATTCCAACCTCATGAGACCCTGAGCGAGAACCACACACCTAAGCTACTTAGGGATTCCTGACCCCCAGGAGCTGTGAGATAAAAGATGTTTAGTAATTAAAAGGCTAAAGTTTGGGGTCTTTGTTACATAGCAACAGATAAGTAATATACAAACCAACAAGCATTCCCCCTCCCCATAACAAAACAATAAATAAAAATAAAACACATTACCTAGACCTTCCAAAGAAACATCTTGAAGATAGCCATTCTCCTTTAGGTAAGGTTTGCCCCTAAACTCTCTTAACCCAAAGATATTAAAGCAATTCAATTCATCTCCAAGGTAATTTTCCATAATTTGGAGTTCAAATGTGTGTGTTACTTATAATATCACATTGTGTAAAAAAGGGGAGAGGAAGACATTCAAATCTTAAAATTACATAAACCTTCAAAACTGTTCAAGGTGAACAATGAACGCAGAAGAGGGCCGAAAGAACTCCCCGGCTTTAGACAATGGAACAACAGGAACAATTGTTAGGCAGAAACGTAGATAGAACTGGGTCATTAGTTAACGGCTATTGTAACTCAATCTAAAAGAAAACATTTGATAGAAATTCTGATCCAAGAATTTGGCAGCTTGCTTGGGCCACATGCAACTGGTACAGATTATACAGTAAATGATGATGACTAAGGATGGGAATCAGGGTTTGATTTCCATAACTTCTAAGGCTAGCAGACATGATGTGAGTTTTCTTCCTAATGAAATCGCCATTAGCCCAGAAGTATTTCTTTCTGCTTACGCATCATGGCATCTCATTATTTTTCAACTTCCACTTGTTCTGCTTTACCACTCAGCCCAGAGCTTGGTCAGCTCCACTGCATGAGCGGTGGGGAGCCCTACCAAGGGGACAGATGCCAATTTATGCACTCAGGAGGCTCAGCCCCTAATCAGGCCTGGGTGATATGCCTCTGCCATCCATCCATACTCCTCCTGCCCACAAAGCTCTTCACGGAGCTGCGATTTTAAAAGGGATGCTCTCCCATCACAATTCAATAGCATTTTATAAGCACATACACTTCTTCCTTTTCTGGCCGGCATAAAATTTAATACCAGGATTATTATCCATTTGTCATTTCAGCCTATAATTTAGCCAGCCGATTTGCATTTGAGTTATGCTTCCCGCATCCCTTCACCATCAGCTTGCAGCCAGCAGACCCATTCAAGAAGCCTTAGAACAAACATTTTCCATGTTTCTTTTTCTGCTTCCCTAAGAGGCCCCATTAAGTTTTGCTCGTCTCAATTTAAAATGATTTTTACCACCCGATAACATTTCAAGTTTTCCATATTAATCTTCATTTTTATTTCTTGAAATACTTAGGCCAGCAGCGTCGCTAAGACAATGATGCTAAGAGGTGGAATTCTCTTTCTCTTTCACTCCTGTCGACTGGATGCTACCTCTGAAGAAATCATTTTTGCTCTGAATTATCTGAGCACTGGAAGAAAAGTTTAAAAGGCTGACTGAGTGATTTCATGTCTTAAACACTGATAGCTATCAAAGCAGAAAATCTTACCTCCCCTCTTTATATATGGGATTCTGTTAAGAACGGAAAAATATATTTAAAAAAATTTTTTTACATCAGGTCAAAGATATCTGAGTCCAAGTGGAAAATGAAAATAAGTAAAATGGAAATAAAAAAATCAGGTCAAAGCTGTCTGAGTCCAAATGGAAAATGAAAATAAAGCACCAACTGAGCCAATTTGCCAAAGCAAACACACACACACATACACACAGCCCACACCCGGGGTGTGGCTGGTACTCACCCCGCACCCCAGGCCGTGGCCCGGTTCGCAGGTGACCTTCCGCTGGCCCGGTTCTGGAAGCAGCCCCGCCCCGCAGCCCGGGCTGGGGCAGAGCACGCCTCCCAGCTGCAGCACGCACTCTTCCGCCCCGTAATGCTGGTACCGGTTGTACTGCAAACAGAAAAGTCGTTTTTCAGAGACAGCACAGTTACGAAGAGGTACAGGCACTCACGTTTTAGCGAAATGCTAATATTTGGTGGTTTGGGAGGGGTTTTCTTGTCGATCCACTTCCATAAAATCTGTAGGGGCGGGGTGGAGAGGGGTGGATGCGGCATGGTCCAACCTAGAGAAAGTTTCCCAGTCCCAACTTGCAAGAGTGGTAGGTGAGGCATTTATTGTTTGTGTTTCTAGAAATTTGTCCTCCAGAAATCTCTTTTTCCGAAGTTCGGATTTTTGGAATACTACTTTGTTGTTGTTCAGTCACTAAGTTGTGTCCGACTCTCTGCGACCCCAGTGGACTGAGGCTTGCCAGGCCTCCCTGTCCCTTACTATCTGCTGGAGTTTGCCTAAGTGCATGTCCACTGACTGAGTTGGTGATGCAATCGAGTTACCTCATCTAATACTGTTACCAACAGCATTTAATAGACGTTTTCATACAAATTTTAGGGACCATATCCATACTTCAAGTTATGGACACTCATAAGGAGTGACTTTCAGTCTCAGTATGTTATCACGCCTCTATTCAGGGATCTGTCGGTTCTTAAAACCATTTTGAAAAAAGGCATCAGTGTTCCACCTCTGGTAATTGTTAGCAGCCCACCCAATATCAATGAGTATTTTCACTTTGATGAAGAAAGATTGATGTTCAAGAACAAAATTTTCCTTTCACATTATTCTTATTCTTAAAGCATGATTTCTTTTATCCCTGACTTCATCTCTTTCTGCTGTTGCTTGTCTCAATTCACTTTACGATTCCTCCAGGCTGCAGAACAAGATTCAAACGGCACAGGCCATCTTCCAAAGCCTTCCTTACCACAGCCCTAAGTTACTGGTCTCCTTGCATTATTTGATCATGTGCCCTTCTAAACTCAGATCAACTCAGATGTATCTGCCCCACTATGAATTAATTTGTGCAACATTTATTGAGCACCTACTATGTACCAGACACCCCTGTGACTGCTGGGATACAGCCCTGAACAAAAGGGCATCTTTACTCTCATCCAAAAGTCTAGAACAGTAAATACAGAAAGGTTAAACTGTCCAGCATGTCAGATGGTGATAAGTGGTGAGGAGAATAAAAAACCAGAAAGAGACAGATTCAGGAGAAGACGTGAATGACAGTTTTAGAGAGGTGATCAGGGAATAGGGAATCCCTTATGTAGAAGGTTCGTTTAAGCCAACATCTGAAGGAGATTAGAAAAGCAAGCCAGGTGCCCCCCGGGGGAAATGAGTTTCCAGGCTGAATACAGAGCATGATACAGGTGCAGGGGCTGCGTGTGCTCAGTTTGAGGTTCTGCAGAGAGGCCAGTGTGCCTGAAGTAGAGTGAATGGGGGTGTGTGTGTGGAGGGGGTGCAGATAATAGTAGATGAGCCAGACAGTTAATGGGGATCCAGGATGTATAGATCCCCGAAGGCCGCCGGAAGAATTCTGGCTTTTATTCTGAGAGATACAGGAACTGCTGGAGACTGTGGAGCTGTGGATGACACAATTTGACTATCTCTTAAAGACAGCCATCTGGCTGATATGCTCAGCGTAAACTCCCCGAGGACAAGGATGGAAGCAGGAAGCAGAGATGCAGGGCGGAGGTTGTTTCAGCGAGATCCATGGAGAGATGGTGGAGGCTTGAAGCAGGAAGGCAGCGGTGGGGCTGACGACGGATCAGTGATTGAGCTCTGGATGTATTTTGAAGGTAGAAATGGCAGATATTTTTAGGCGGACTGGATATGTGATGTGAGAGGAAAAGGAATCAAGCAGGATATAATGTTTGTTCCCTAAGGAGAGAGGATGGGGGAGGGCGTGGGGGAGAGTTACTGAGATGGGGGAACATGGGAGAAAGCGGTGTGTGTGTGTGTGTGTGTTTAGAGAGTTGAGAAAAGGAATCACTATTTCTGTTGTGATCATATTCAGTCTGTTAACCTCTGACACAGCTAAGTCAGAATGTTGAGTGCCTAACTGAACGGATAGCTTTGGAATTTAGGAGAAACATGTAGGTTGTAGACACCAGTTTTGAAGTCATAGGTGCACACAGAGGTGAAAAGGAGAGGATCAGTATCAGGGCAACTGTCCATTTTCTCATATTTCTGACCTCATCAGAAAGAGAAAGATGGATTGGTCAAGTCCCCTTGTAAATATGCTACTACTACTTATATACAATGGCATTAGCTAGAAAAGAGTTCTTATCTATAGAATGCATTTAGCGGGAAACACTTAGTCTAAGTTTGCTTACAGTAAACAACCTAGAATATGTGAATGCATAAAGTAAGGCTCTCTGAAAATGTCATAAGCTATGCAATTATTAAGGGGTAAATGAAGACGTTTCATCAAGTGGTGAATACCTGAGAGGTTTTATGTTAGAGATCATTCTGTGAGCTGCCTGGAGACCTGATGCATTGACTCTTGCCTAGAGTATGTCCCAATATGCTGAGAAAGGACCTGGGCTTTGTTAAACACAGGATCTACTGCCTTTAACACAGTAGCTGTGTTAAATGATGTGGGCTTCCCATTATTTCGTCTGTGCTTCACCATTACCAGCATCCTGGAAGTTATTAGTAAAGCTCGACACTGGGCTCCATCTATGATTCTTGTACGTCTGGTTTGACAGTCAGACTCTCTCATCTCAACAGCCCCGAGACCGGAAGAGACGCTGTACCCTTTGTGGACGCTGAGATAGGGCCACAAAGGAGATTGAGAAGCAGCAGTCTACTAGGCAGGAGGAAAAGGAGACGATGCGGGAGGCCTGGAAGCCAAGGCAACACAGTATTTCAAGGGGGGTGTATGTGTCATGACAAATTGTGTCAAAGGCTGCAGATTAACCACTTTATATGGAAGCTTGCTGGACTTAGAAATGGAGATGCCATTGCAATCTTGACAGGAGCCATGACTTATTGGAGGCATGTAGCCAAAAGCCTTGTGGGGGTGGAGTCAAGAGAGAATTGGAGGAGACAGATTCCAAGAGGTGAGCCCAGACACTTCTTTCTAGAGTTTGGCTTAAAGGGCAGCAGAGACAGGGAGGCCAGATGGGCTGTGGGACTGTAAAGAGTGTTTTGAAAATGAGAGGCCTCTGTAATGGCAGGATGCTAGTATGCCGAAGGGAGTGAGTGGGAAGAGGAGGTACTTGGTGGTGCCCGGAGCAGGTGATGCAATGGGAGCTGAAGGATGAGAAGAGGGGTGATCTTGCAGAGAAGGAAGGCTGCGTGCTGGGGCCCAGGTGTGGACAAGGGAGGTTTTGGGAATTTGAGAAGAGAAGGAAAGGTGTGAATGAGAAAGGGGAAGGAAGGGATAGTTAGGATTGTTGCTGGGCACTAACAGCCCATGATGGGAGTGTTGGACCATAAAGAAAGCTGAGCACTAAAGAACTGATGCTTTCGAATTGTGGTGCTGGAAAAGACTCCTGAGAGTCCCTTGGGCTGCAAGGTCAAACCAGTCCATCCTAAAGGAACTCAACCCTGGATATTCATTGGAAGGACTGATGCTGAAGCTGAACCTGATGAGAAGAGCTGGCACTTTGGGAGCGATTGAAGGCCAAAGGAGAAGTGGACGACAGAGGATGAGATGGTTGGATAGCGTCACTGACTCAGTGGACATGAATCTGAGCCAATTCTGGAAAATAGTGAAGGACATGGGAACCTGGTGTGCTGCAGTCCATAGCGTCGCAAAGAGTCAGACACGACCTAGCGACTGAACAACATCTGGGGTCAGAGATTGTGAGTTTAGAGCAGGCTGGTCAGTAGAGTGCCTGCTCTTTTGCACCAACACTCAGTAGCAAGCGCAGAGCAGACAGGAAGTTGGCTTTAAGCCAGTTGGGGGTTGGGCAGACTTGTATGAGGAATTCTCCACCCCCCATTTGGCTTTGGTACACATCCCCTCGTGTCTCTGTGAATGAGTCCAGTAAGTATTTATTGAATCCCTCTGCTCAGCTCTGTACCACGGGACCGTGAAAACTTCTGTCTTGGCCTATCCAAAATGGGTACAAAATTTCAGTTTTGCAAAGTGGTTACGCCCTGGGGAGCTAATGTACAGCCTGGGGAGTACAGCTAATAATTTTACTTTGTAGACTTGAATTTGCTACAAGGGTAGCTATTTCCAAACTACAGAGTTTTTACTTAAGCTTTTCAATTTTATATCTATACCTTCCTCTCTCTTCCCCACTGGCTATCAAGAACACAGAGAATGATAGAGATGTGATACATACATACAATGGAATATTACTCAGCCATAAAAAAGAATGAAATAATACCATGTGCTGCAACATGGATGGACCTAGAAATTGTCATATTGAGTGAAGTAAGCCAGAGAGGGAGAGATGTCGTATGACATCGCTTACATGTGGAACCTAAAACGACATCATGCAAATGGACTTACAGAGCAGAAAGAGACTCATAGACTTAGAGAGTGAACTTACGGTTGCTGGGGAGAAGGGACAGTTAGGGAGTCTGGGATGGACATGTACTCAATGTTATGTTTAAAATGGATGATGAACCAGGACCTACTGTAGAGCCCATGGAACTCTGCTCAATGTTAGGTGACAGTCTGGATGGGAGGGGAGTTTGGGGAGAATGGATACGTGTACATGTATGGCTGAGTCCCCTGCTGTTGACCTGAAACCATCACAGAATTGTTCATTCATTGGCCATACCTCAATACAAAATAAAAAGTTTAAAAAAGAAAAAATAGACAGAGAACGGTAGGATTATCATATGCACAATAGCTCATTAGCTTCAGCTTACATTGTACACACCATGATTTCAGAACAGTAATGATAGTATCACCACGAATGTGATTACTAAAAACTTCGAATATATTTTCATGTGCTCTACCCATTCTCCTGCTGAATTTTTCTAACAAAAATAGTGTATCTACATTGTTAAAACATAGGACCATTTCATACTATGCTTTCTAATTGCCATGTTACATTAATTCTACACACACACACTTAATGTTCACTACCAGT